ATTGCACAAAATAAATTAATTAAGACTTTTGAAAAGTAGCTACGATTTCTGACCATGGGGAGAGCCTGGTACGTTCCAGGATTTGTAAACGTCTCACGAGTTACCACGTTACTCTCACTCATAATTGGCTTTGGATGAAATTGTACCCCAATTAAACTCCATTACTCACTTAGCACAGGCTACAATGGAGGCAAGTTTTAATCTCCCAGAGCAAAGCTTGAATGCACCTGAAAACTTTTTACAGTTCTGTAATACATAAGTATCCCCTATAGCCCATACAGCAAGTGCCTTCCTTTCTCCTTTTTTTCCTCCTTCCTCACTTTCCTTTTGCTACTGCTTTCTTCTCCATCTTTCTTATTGGTTTATTTTTCCTTTTGCTATATAAATACATTGTCCAGAGAAGCTGTGGATGCCCCATCCCTGGATGTCTTCAGGCTGGATGAGGCTTGGAGCAACCTGGTCTAGTGGAAGGTGTCCCTGCCCATGGCAGGGGGGTTGGAAATGGATGGTCTTTAAGGACCCTTCCAACCCAAACCATTCTGTGATTCTATGAATTGTGACCTCTCCCATCCCAGTAAGCAGCAGCGTGGTAGCAGCATAATACATAATTTCTCCTTGCTTCTTTTGGTATCTTTTTTCTAATACAGACAACATTGTTTTTTTTCATCTCACACATTTCTTTCACTTGATTGCTGCTGTTGCATCGCTCTTAATTTATCATTTCAAAGTCACAAAGGAAACGACCTACCAAGTCTGGCAGGTGACCCTCTTCCCAGAGAAGTTCTGATAAGGCGGTACAACAGGAGGGGTAACGTGCTGATACTGTCTATTGAGAGCAAGTCACAAAGGTTCTCTGCGTTTTAATCCAAAGCCCTACTCTGGTGCCAGAAGTGAGTTTTAAGAAAGATTACACCATGTAGAGTTATCTGTGAACTGTAAGACTGTATGAGTTCCTTGGAAAAGCTTTAGCTCTGCCATATTTTCCAGTCTGTGTGCTCAAAGCTATTTAAGTGCATGTACGTGAACCACTCGCGCTGCGTGTGAAAACTCTGCGTGTGACTGACTGAGAACTTGAGAAGTCACCTCGGGTCCTGGCACTGCAGGAATAAAAACTGTATCCAGAGGATGATGGGAAAAGGGGCCTGGCTGGAAAAGAATGTGTGTTACCATACTGTGTGTACCGTACCTAAAGGAAGATGAAAGCTGTGAGTCTTTTTCACTGAACTGTGGTCTTCTACCGCGAGGAGCTGGCAAAGTGAAATCCCCTCCGGGGCTAGCACATGCTCACGCCATGCTGGTCCATGTGCGTTGCCTGCAACGTCTGCAGAACCTACCACGGACAACCTGTACTAATTCATTCCTGAGAAAACGCATGAAGAGAGGAAGGACCGTTACACAGCATGATCACCACGGGGAAGACGGCAGTCTGCCGGAGGCTTTCTTCAGTAACCACAGTAAGGAACCCGTGACGTTACAATTGCAGGAAACCTACACACAGCATCCACATATCCTGCGAGGAGTGGCAGAAATCTGCAGGAATACTTTTCTCCATCAGACTCTCTGGGCATTTATCTTCTGATACTTCAGCTCCTCCCTGAATTTTTGGAATTTTCAAAAACAAGCGGACAGCACATTAAAAACAAACACTGCTTTATTGGCCAGATTTAGATCTTATTAAATGTACATACATAAGTTAGCTGAACATAAGGTTTAAAAAATTTATTCCAACATTAGTGTATCGTATATATCAGCAACATAACTCAGCAGACAGAAATCCCACTCGGATTACAGGACAAATCCAAACAAGCAGTACACAGAACAGTAGGGAAGCCCATCCATTTTCAAGCCGTTCTGTTGTCTCAAACCAATAATACTACATAAAAAAGTAAAAGCATAGTAACAAAATCTTCTAGAAAAAACTGTATAGTATCCTCGAGTAGCACTCTTAGTTTGCAGTCATCTGCTCAGAACATACCACATGAAATCTCTCCAAGGTAAAAATACTAAATTTTAGTCAGAGAAAAAAAAATAATCCCTGATCGTATTACACTTGAAAGGTCAATTTTCTTTTTCTAACTAATTCTAACGAAGCAATCTACTGTTGCTTCAATACAGTAGTTCCAACACGGAACTATCGTCATTTGGTTAAAGGACACTTCTCGATACTTATATTAAACACATCAAAATCAAATATTCCAACAGTACGAATAAGTATATCTCCAAAGTGACCAGTCCATTTTTCTTATTTTTGTCACTTTTCAAGAACACTTCAGGAAATGTATCTGTATGTGAACCATTACAATCCTAATCATACTAAGAATCTTTTGTCAAAATACTGCTTAGTGACCAGTAAAGGCGAACTATTGTGTGAAGAGGTGTTAGACTGTTACGTGTCATTAGCTCCCCATGTGACAACACATTCTCAGCAGTTTCTATATAGGAAGAAGTAATGCTATAAAGTGTAATGATATATTTTTAAAATATATATATTTCTTTTTAAATAAGCTGATCCCAGATTTTTTCCACCTTCTACTGTATGATACAACATATGCAAAACATCTGTTGGTATAGCATTAAATAGGAAGTGATCTCAGAAAATACGTTTGAAAGAAGCAAGAAGTAGGAGTCAAAACATCAAATTCAGGGTCTGCATGCACGGCTTCTGCCTATCAGTGCTTTATCCCAAACAAAGGTATTTCCTTGTTTTCCTCCATCTTGCTCTTGAATAGCAGTATTCATGCACAAGACATCTGTTTTGCTGATATCTTTTCAAGTGTAGTATATTAGGACACTTTTTTTACACGGCCTGCAGAAACTAACGTTCCATAAGCAGGAATAGTGCATCTTATGCTGAATTTTCAACTCTGTTTTCAGCTTCCATCAGATTGTACGTTTTGCATAGAAATATCATTCCCTATCTCATCGCCTCACGCTGTGAAGCAACTCTTTGCATTGCTAATAGTAACAAACCCGTGAAATCTAAATGAAGCAGTTAACAGTATATGCGTAAGAAGTAGCAAAGTGCTTGCGTTGTGTAAATTCTGGTGTCACACACGTAATTATGGTGACTGATGCTTTTCTTTGGCTTATACATTAAGCAGCAGAGCTAATTTCCTTCTACATGCCTTCCTCCAACAAAGCCGTTACTTCAGATACATCTGAATATTCAAGAACATGGTCGGTTCATCACGAACGTGAATTGCCAACAAGCTTGATTCACCAAGCTAACTTACAGAACGAAGCGGAATAACTTACAGTAACGAGAAATGTACATCTGCTTCAACTCCTTGACTGGCAGCCAAACCATGGTGTTTGTTCGAGGTAGGCACTTCCATGTTAAAACTGTTCGCTCATAATGACGGTTCCACTCAAGACATCGATTTAGAACTCTGCTACAACATGAAGGTTACTCGCCAAGCATTCCAAGACGTAGGCTGCTAAAACCAAATATGGACACCTCAAGTTGTGGATCGAGTAAACAGTCCATCATTTGGCTGATATGGAACACAAATCCAAATTTTTCTTGTGTATACTTCCACAGAAGTATAACTTTCAAAGTGCAAACACAGTAAGAATTCTCATCTCTCTAGCTAGTGTAGTTCAGCACGAGAGAACGCAACAGCCCAGTGGTACTGTATCGCAGCAGTCGAGGGATGAGCTGCCCCCTGCGAGCGCTTCGCACAGCACTGACAGCAGTCTGCCAAGGCAGGCGTGGTTTGGCTAACGCCTGTGCGGGTTCACAGCCTCCTGATGCCCGCCAGCACACTTGGGAAATACGCAGTTCCCCGTCGCGATGGTCTTCACATCTTTTGCCGAGTGCAGGTAAACAAGGCACTAAGCGTGGAAGGGTTGATATGTTTTAAATATACAGCAAAATCATAAGAACGCCTAACTGCTTCAAATTATAGAATGAGGGCACATTCATGAACAGCTGGTAGCTACTTTGCACAAGTAGTTATTATACATTTATAAACTCGGTAACTTTGTAGAAAAGCCACGTAACAAAACAGAAAACAAATCCTTCTTGAAGATGCAAAACAACCCCAAGAACAAAACCCCAAACCCCAGGCTCCTATGTATAAGGACAATAACAATGTAAACATAGATTATTGGGCATGCTTAAAACCTTTTGAATACAAACCCATGTAAAACCACCCCGCCAATCCATCAGTGTGGCGATCCAGCTCCCACTGCACTGTGCAGTGATGCTCTGTAGTATGCGTCGAGTACAGACACACAGCTTTAGCCCTTCGCTGGCATTCACTGGGAATCCAAACAGTCCAAACAAAGGAGCACCTTTGGCCAAAAGGGATGTCAAGCATGACCTTCCAATGGCAGTTTTTGAGACTGAGAGATAAATTTGCTGTACTTGTCCAAACTGTATACATCTTTTCAAAAACCACTGTAATTAGGTGATTCCACAATATTTGCATTTAAAGAGCAAATTCTTTGGCAGATGGTATCTTTATGAAAATATGTTATAGGGGTTTTTTCCTTCATGAGTATGTGTTGACTGAATTCTGTGCCTATGAATAATTCCAAGTGGAATTAAGCCAATATATCTTTAAAAACCAACTCCTTCTAAAAAGGGTATAGTAGTTCAAAGCTGCAAAGAAATGTTTCATATGGCACAGTGGATATAAAAAAAGCCCCAAATCCTAACCCTGGTATCAGGAGTGTTCTCCTATTTAAATGATTATATCATAAAAATCATAATTCTTAGCATTTTCCACAGAGGAGTCCTCTGATATCCTTTTCATTCAGCTGAGATACAGCCTGGAACTTTGCTGAATAGCAACAGGGGGAGGGCTTGGCGGTAATGACCTTATCATATCCTGCGAGCCCTTCGAGGGTAACATTCTGGGAATCCAAATTCTAGGATTATAAGATTACACTTATTTCTTGAAGTGATGGGTAAATAGAAACAGTGCTGAAGTCACAGTTAGGCAGATTTACTAAACCTAGAATGCTCAGTAAGACTTTCAAAGTCTAAAATCTTTGGACTGAAAGCAAAGGGTTGAAGTTGTCCGAGAGCTGTCAAGATGATGCACACAGAGGACACCACAGGTAAAAAAGCTAACACGACCTAAACCCCACACAGTTGTGTTTTCAACTACATTGCTCTGGATAACTCCATCCTCCCTTCTGTGGCGATGAACTCCTTCTCCGTGGCTTGCTTATCTCCTTGACACAGCCTCTCCTTCAGTTTTTCAAGTTCATACTCATGTAGGATTTTCTGTGTTAAATACTTTTCACGTTTTATTTTGGCTTTCACGTCTGCAGGGACATCAGGAATCATCCACGCTACAAAGAATTTGACGATGAATACAACATGCTGGGTGGGTGGAAAAAAGGAAACCAAGAGAAATGTAACAACTCATTATCGAATGAAACTGGTTTATCTAACACCAAATAGATGGCTTTTTGTTCACAAACAGAATACTCCATTTCACATGGCTGTCCTGGAACAACACATAATGAACTAATGTGTACCTGAGATGTGCATGAAGATTAACACACTTCCTTTTTGGCAGAAACTTTATTTCCAAAACATCTGTGATTTAGTAAACCCAAGAGCAAAGTGCGGGGTTCTGAATTCCCAGCGCCACTTCCTGAGACCTCTGTGTGGTTTCTTAGAAAATTCATGTGGCCACGCTGGTAGCGCTCAGCTACTGAGAGCTGGTAAGGTACAGCAGGAAAAGCGATGGGAAGAGCACTTTAACAACTCCCTTTTCCCTGCAGAACTTGCAGGACAGTGGCTTAATACTGAAGTGCCAGTTATCCAAATTACTGACCTAACTAATTTTAGCCAATATACATCACTGCAAGATGCTGGATTTTGAACACAGCTGTCTCACATGCAGTTCTGATGAAACCAGGAGGAGTGAAAGTGCTAGTCCTGGTGGTTTCATGTCTCTTCCATCTGCACAAAGACCTTTTTTATTCTGCTGGTTTATTTTGATCAAATTTAGCAGTCTCCTCAGCTGTTTTCACTGTTCTTACTTAACTCCCTGAGGTTAAAAGACCTCCCTACAGTAATCATTTAGGACATGAGTATTTGGGTATTACTTAGGGAACAAACTATTTTATACTCAGCAATTCTATTTCCTGTAACATTAGTAACCTAGAGAATCTATAAGGTACCAATTTTGGACAGAAATTTTGTAAGGAACATACCTCCATAATAATGATAAAGGCCAGTTTTGCAGCAAGAATGTGCCAGAACTGCATAGTGTGTAAATATTTCCTCTCATGATCCGGAGGATATCGATAGTCTCTGTACCTGTGGGATAGAAGGACATGCAGAGGTGAAATGTCACAGTCAGTCTGAGACAGACTACAAGCTCAGTGACACTTACAGGCACATACAGCTGTCACTTAAGGAACCTTTTCACCTTGTTTTAAATGGTCTGTTTCCTTTCGCAAGAAAAAGGTTGCCTCTCAATTTGTTTCTATGTTATCTTTGCCTAAACACCCTCACAGCAACGGAGCAGGGATGAGGATGTGCGAGCAGTGAAATTCTGTGGGCAGGTTACTTTTTTCAGGCGATGGGCAAGCAGTACAGGAGAGAGTGATGCAATGTGTCACACAGTATGGACAAGTCCTGAATAAATGTGACAGCTGTTGACAGATTATGGACTGGACAGATGCAGGGTTTAACGGAAGGATGGTCTTGAGTACATGTTCTACATCCACACGTACAAGTAGGATAAAGACTCCTGAGGCTTTAAAGCTAAAACATCATACAAAGGTAGCTGCTTCTTGAAGTGCTGGGTTTTGGGGTTTCTCTGGTTCATTTGTTTTGGGATTTTTTTTTTTTCATCAAATCAATACTTTTCTGTTATCATGGACTTCTCCAAAGTTCTTTCTCAATTCTTCTAGAACCCTCCCAGTGCTGCTTCTAGCAAGAAAGGACTGGTTTTAATGAAAGCAGTGTGGCCCAGATTCTTGGTGGTATCTAGCACAATAGCAACTGACTTTAAATGCCATGTCTCAATCAGCTTTGGAGCCTAAACATTCCCTTAGTAATACTTCCTTGTCTACTTAGGCACTGCAGCCTAAAAACCTGTGAAAACAGAGGCTGAAGTTGGCCGCCTTAAAGACCTAGATCTTCTTCATCACTCAAAAATCAATAGTTTAATGAAGCAAAAAACCAAAGCCAAACAAAAAAACGTTAGCAATGAGACTTTCTTAAATAACAAGAAGGTGACACTTTTCATGAGTGACCATCCCTTACTATCTCTCCTACCATCTCAAGCACTGCCTTGTTAACAGCTTAAAATATTACCTCTCACATTTTAGAATGATGAGAATGACATCACTTAATTTCTAGTGGACTACTTAGATCTGCACTGGCTTTTTATGGTGATAACAAAGTGATAAAATATTCATTATCACACCAACCTGCATATGAGAAAATTTTCTGGATTCAGCTTAGGCTTGTTTCTTTCAGGAAAATCTGAGATTTGAAACACCGACAAACTATTGTTTATGTATCCAGACATCGGCGAGTCTCCACTTTCAGAATAAGCATAGTAGTAAACTAAACGAGGAATCATATCTGATGTGAATGCAACAATAAAAGCCTGAAAAAGAAATTGGAAGAAGAAAGTAAGGAAGTGGCACACAAAACTTGCGAGCAGATTCACAAAGAGGTTTTGGTACTGTGACTCTGTGGCATAACCTGGGATCTTTTACGCGAGGGTGAGCACGATGAGGGCACTCTACCAAGGCAAAGATGCTGACTGCAGCCCCTGCTGCAAGGGCCCGCACTCAGGGGACAAAATACATAACACAGACCTTACAAGAGGCACCAGATCCCAAATATCCCCTTCACACCAAACTGTCTTCTACCTGTGATAACAGCACTCCTTAGTGAAAGAGGAGACGTGCTGTTGAGTCCTTGTGAGAAAGGGTGAATTCGAATCCAGCGTGTGACCACCTTATGAAAGAAGGGGAGCCATTTCCTCCAGCTGTATTTGGAAAGGAAACAACAGCTACCAGCACTTTTTGCCTGGAAACCCAAGATACTGAGGATGCTCAGGTACCTTGCTAATCAGGCAATACCAGCAAGTGGGTTTGTTGTGTAAGACGCTTGCAGATCAGATTCTCTTTACCATTCTACATTAAAAACACTTCTGCTCAGCAGCCTGCTTTACATTACACTGAAGATGCAAATACTAGCATAGCCTTTAGTTTCCAGATTGTAAAAGTACTCTGAGCCACTGCCCCCACAGAGGCACCCAGAATCAGAATTCCCACAGAACAGGCCTCATAGCAACAAGACAGAAACGTCTTCCAGACGACAGAATTAAACTGCCTCTCCTGTCCCCTTCGGTCCCCTCTGGGCAATGTGTGCTTCATCAGACTAAGCTTCCAGCTGGCTTATGCTATTCCAAAATGCTGGAAAACACAGCCAAGTGAATAAAAGATGATGGTCCAATGAAATGTGGATTGGGAGCAGTGTGTCACCAACACACGGACAAGCCAAATTGTTTGACCGTGTCTACGCAGGGTAATGTGATAAAGTGAATGCTGTCAATGGCGAAGAAAAAGCATCAACTGATTTTTAAATCTGCAAGCCCTGAGTACACGGAAGAATCAAAGTCGATGTAGCACGGTTAACAAACTTACATTAGTGACAACAGACAAGATGGCCATTCCGTTGAGGATTTCCTGCCAAACTCCTATGCTATGTGCTTTTGCAGCCACAGGTCTTCGGTACTGAGTGGTTAATTTCCAGGAGTCTACTCGAATCTCCAGGATATTATTCATCAGAGCAAGAAGGGGAGCCAGAGGAAAGGACGCCACGAAGAGAGTAATGAATCCAAACTGAATGACTGCAAGGGAGAAAAGGAAAGTGCCAAAATCTGCCCCTACAGAAGTACCCTCACACGGAGAAAAAGACACATACAAGTTGCCACTCTGACAAATGGCAAACTTCTGCCAGGCTGCACAAGTCCCCTCCAGCCCTGGCCTGAGCTAAGGGACAACCTGCCCCAGCCCCGAGACTTCTCTAGTCAATCCAGGCTGCCATTCAGCAGCACCCAAGGGAGCAGGGCACTCGAGTCCTGCCACGTGCGGCTGCCAGCAGTGCCGGGTATGAATTCTTCCATGGCGCTGCAGCTCCCTCATGAATGGAATGCAGTGGTAGGGGAATGGGAATGTACTCATACGTCCCATTTCTGAATTAAGAGGAAGGACCAAAAACCAGGCTAGATTCCCTGTCCTGCAGTTTGTACGGAGCAAGGCCATTCTCCTTTTCCTTATCAGCTATACTCTTAAATGAATAAGAGGAAGCACTTTTATGACAGCCTTACCTCCACCTATAGTTACTGGTTGAGTCAAAATATTAATAACAATTTTTTATCTAATAGTTCCACCGGGGAGTCTTAACATCAGTTTAAGATTTGCAAATAAAATGCAGGAATCCATTTAGTCATTACCAAAATTAAATGTCTCTGGGTACAGAATGTGACAGTCCCCACTGCAGAGCCAATTCTGCTACTGTATTTTCAAGACAGGAAATAGAACATCTTGTCGTGTTCAGGCAGTGGATAAAAATAAATTCCCGTACACCAGTCATCAGCTCTTCCATGGTTTCAGCGATGAGTTCTTCATCTTAGACAAGCAACACAATTCCTATGAGCGCAGCAGCACCAGGACAATGCTGGAGCGTACTGGTTCAGTTCTGATTCAGGAGGAGCAAGGACATCTAGTAACAGGCGTGGCCGACAGTGTGCCTTGTTCTGAGTGTATTAATTTGACAAGATCACAGCCCTGCATGAAGTACCATGGAGTGTATGAAGCGACAGTAACAAGAATTCACATCTCCGGGCAATCTGTAACACTCATTTCTGTAGAAATAACGCAATACGAAGGCCCACTTTTCAACAAATCTTGTCCTTATGAGGCAGAAATATTAATATATTTTTAGTGCCTTTTAGATTTAGCATGGCTTCAGTTTCTAGTTTTAGTTTCTCAGGTTTTGTAAACTACTTTCACACGCTGACCTGTCCGAGTTACCTCTGGCAGATCCTATTCTGTTACCCATGCTCCCCCTGCTGGTCTCCTGGGCTGTATGGAAGCACTAACCAGCACAAACCTAAAACTACAGATTCTCCCTGATCCAGTTCGTAGATCTCGTATCCGCAGCACCCATCCTTACAGCATATTTGGCACTCATCCCATACTTACAACTTCCCCTGACATCAGCTGAGAATCTGCTTGGGAACAAGAACTGAGCAGACACCAAGACAGCTGGCTGCACCGAGAATAATGTTCCCCATTCAAATGAGAGAAACAAAACAGTCTCTGCAGCGCTTCTGTGAAATCCCCTGCAGTCTAAGATGCAAAGGCAGCTTGTTTTTTTAAAACTAGGCTGACCTATTTAATGATTTCCAGCAGTTAATCATCTACTGTTTACCAGATGAAAGAGGCTGTATCAACCCGTAACAATTAACTGAGAAACTATTTTTTGAAAGTGTCAGAACAAGGTGTCTTGCCCTCGATTCCAAATGAGTATTTTTAAACTTACCCATTTCTAGGTATTCATAGAACAGGCCTAAGGCTCCAAATATCTGCAGATCATGGTCTTGCTCCCAGCGACTGTATAAATTTTCTGGATTATTTCTGGCTTTCCGGCGACCCCACCAGTTACAAATCCAGCTGTAGATGCAGGAAAAAAGTTAACAGCGAGAGAAGCACATCAAATACCCCTTTCCCTGAGCAAGCTCCTTGTTGCAACAGACTTTTATAAGCGTGGCTTTCACAAAAAGAGGCCAAAAGCCTCTACGAATTGAGTCTGCTTGTCAGAATTTGTGGTTAATTTACAGAATTATTCTTAGTTTCTTCACGTTATCACCCCTTCCAAGAATTTCATCTGTCTATAACATGGGTTTCTCAGTGTAAGACAGAACTTACGGTACAATGGCCTCTTGGATATTTCCCCAGATCTGTTTGCCAGCCATGACTATGGTGAGCTGTGTCGTCAGTTCTATCAAACAGCCCGCAGGATCACACTGGTAGAGAGAAATTGGGAGTTCATGGACATGAATAATGACATTACCCAAGTAAACTGTATTCTGCTACTGTGTAAGTGAAGAAAGAAGAGTTCTTATAATCTGTTAGGACAATAGTTAATTTTCACTTGGACTGCCAGCTAGGATACCCTCTCAGAAAAGCTGTTACAGAAGGGCTTTTCAACACTCGATGTGCTTGATCAAAAGACACACCAAAACCCAATGACCATTTAAAGACAGAGTCATTCAAAGATGCTTCAGGCTGACCACTGTGCAGGTACACGATGGGGCAGCCGGGTCTGCACGGAGCAGCCACCCCACAGCCCCAGCAAGATGACTCTCTGGTGCTCGGTTAGCTCTCAGCACCAGAGCAGCCCCGACCTAGCAAGCACCTGCGTTTGCTGTTCGTATCCCTAACCAGAGGTATTCAAATACCCGAGGGCATCTCAGCTGTTTGCTGAGAACACTGAAGTTTTCACTCTTTACTGAGGCTGCCTTAAGAATTTAGAGCCAGACCTGTATTAGGAGATACTTCCTTGTGTTTTGGATGAAGTTTTTCCTCCCTTATTGACTCCCAAGCAATGCTTCACATTAAATACTGTATTTCACCTTTGTACAAACAGCATAATTAGCAATGAAACGGGGATTAAAAAACCCTCAAAAGCTTACAGAAGTGCCTCTTACTTACCAAATGGTTTCTCTGAAAATGCAGAGCCTCAAAAACGCTTAAGAAGACACCCAAAAGCCAGAGACCACTTCCATTTACACTACCTTTCTTCAACCTAGAGGATCACTTTTAAAAGCTATGGATCCACTGGTGTTTCAGGAGAACTGAGGACACGTAAAGCTTTTTGGTTTTTCACCCCTGTGACTGAGGGCCACAGATTTTCACTGCTGGTGCTTCCCTGACTCGCAACAGCAGGAAGAGTCCTTGGAAGCCCCCCTATCAGCCTCAGGATGGCCAGCTGAGGTCCAGCTCATTCCAGACCAAACCTGCAGCTGGCAATTTATGACTGCAAAGGTCGGAGGGGACAAAGAGTTTAAACTAGTTTATTATTCTTCAATCCACCTTAATCAACAAAGTCCTACCTCCTCATTTCGCCAGCGATTAAACATGTATGTGTAGGCACCTGGGTAACCAACAAACTTCCCTTTGAAGAAGGCCACGTAAAAGCAGGATGAATAATAGTTAACAAACTGGAACAGAAACATTTTCATAGTGAGCCTGTTCTCATACTCCATGTGAGTCCTGGGAATCTCTGTGAAACCAGAAAACAGTAATTTTATTTTCTTTTACATCCTTTAAAAACATACAGATTCATTAATACTCATCACCCACAGTGCCAAAGGAGAAAACAAAAAGAAAACCAGCTACAGAAGCTCAGCAGACAGAATTCCTGCTCTCAACCACCCTACTGACAACGCAATGCTCTGAGCACAGGCAAGAGAAATTAATTCTTGAAACGTTTATCATCAAGTTCCCCTTCTTTGTACTGTCTACTAGTACCTGTCCATCCCAGACTCTTACACTGTTTTTAGGAGATCCAAGATGAACCTCAAACATTAATTAGCAGGATTATCTAGACTATGAAAATTTCACTGTTGGCAACGCACAGGATCAAGATTTTATTTTTCCCTTTGCTGTAGAGAAGCATGTTACATTTTTTTTACCCCAATATGCTCTCTGTGTGTAATTTATATTGAAATCCGCAGAAACCCGACGGGTCAGTGCTCTCTGAACAATGCGACTCCGAGGGGGAGGGGAGAATAGGGAAGGATACAGGCATCTCGGTGGTTCTGAGCATCACCAAGCCTTTGCTTAAGATTGTACTGCCTTCGTAATCAAATTCTCCATCAGGTTTACATTTTTTAAAGGTAGCAGGAAGTCCTACACACGTTATTGGTAAAATGTCTTGTTAAGAGGTAACATATAACCATTTAGGCTGGGTGAATGAGGAAGAAAATACACCACAAACATTCACGTCCCTCTGAACGGGTCAGGACTTGGCAGACGTACTGAACTCACCAGCCCTGTGGCAATGGTATTTTATGTATCCGAGTAAATTATCGTTCCCAAGCTTGGCGTAAGTTTGTATGACATCAGGTATTTACCGGGAACCTGCAGTCTGAAAACAAAATCTAGCCTAACTTTTTTAAGGAACTCGAGTGAAAAGAGTGGAAAGACAGCCCCGACAGCCGCAGCCAACATTTCACACCCTGCAGCCAAGGCGTCTCCAAGCCTGGGCTAAGCCCAGCTCCACGGCTGCCAGAGGAGGGCAGCAGCCCCACGGAAGTGAAGGCACCTTTCCTCTGCAACCGATAACCGCAGGTAGTGCTGACACAAGGAATTCATCCTCCACACCTGCAAGGAGCAGAGTAACTCTGCCAAGCCTTCATGCTTATAATTCTCGCCCTTCGAGAAAGATTACAAAAATGACGAGTTTCTGTTGTTGTGTTTGGGGTATTTTTGCTAGAGGCAATTTTACTTATTACTTGTTCTGTCTTTGTTTGGTCTAATTTGGCCAAGTGAGATAAGCAATACAGATCTCCGAGACAAGAGATGGTCCATGATAAATCAAAATAAACCCAATGCAACATCCCCTTAAGGTTCTGCAAGAAACACCTTTCCATTCTTCATTCCACTTGTATTTATGACAGCTGTACAAACTACAAATACCTATATTTTCAGCTCTCCCTCCACCAGCTGAATATTCCGCAATTATTTCTTTCTATAAAGCACCTGCAGGGACTTGTACATCTAAAGCATTAAGGGCAAACAAAGAAAAATAGCTAAGAAGAGCTCTAGGGAGGGATATTTCCAGCAAGTAAGCAGCAGTCAAACATAACATCTGCTACTAACGTAGTAGATCATTCTCGGCCGGCCTGCCTGCTGGCTCCTCCAGCTCTGGAGTGAGCCTACTGCAGGTCACGCCCCCTACGGCTACAGCCACAATGACACCTCTCAGGCCAAACATCTCCGCCTTCAATCTGTATTAACTCCAAATTTGTAAATCTGTAGCTAAGGTAAATAGTGCCAAGAGAAAACCCTGCAAAACACACTGTCCTATGCCATCGGCCAGCCTCTGACCTTTTCCCTCAAAGACAGAAGCATAATTATGTACTCTTTTTTCTTATAAAGATGGCTGTGAAAGCTGTGACCTGTCTTTAACAATACATCTTCAGGATTTCTAATTGAAATACTGCTAAATTAAGACAGTTGGATTTTGCTTTGGTGACTTTACGACCACACACGGTAATTTTTAATTATTTTCAGAACTATGATTGTCTCTGTAGACCAGTTTTAATACAAGCTAATATTATACTTACTCAAACACAGGGAAAATGTTCAGTATGGCCACGGACACAAGTGAGTCATTTCTGGAAGCTGCAGACTAACGCCGCAGGGCCCAGTGTCCGAGCCGAGACACCTACACAAAGCACGGCCAGATGGGTTCTACCTTTAGGGATTCCTTCGAAGTTCTCTCTTCCTGCACGCTGCTTACCCATATCAGTAATCCAGATGGCTATTCTCTCGTAGAAGAAATTCAGTATCATGATGATGACAAAATTCAGGCATGAGGCTGTGACGGAAGTGGCCAGCTGAGGGGTCAGTAATCCGCTGATGGGCTGCAACGTTTGAGTGTTCTCCATCAGGCTGGCAAAGGCAGCGTACACCGCCAGGCGATAGACGATCACAGCTATCATGCTAGCTATGATGAGAGACACCTGAGGAGAGGACAGAGATTTGACATACACTTACAGCTCATACAGCTATATGCATGCAACTTCTGATACAAGATCTAAGTTATCATGCTTTACAGTTTTTAAACTTTATTCTTTCCGGGTATGAGTTCAGCAGCACTGAAATGCGAAGTAAACAGGCAAAATACTTAGTAACATTCGATACATTAAACCCGACAGCATTGTTTTTTTTAAAGTCAAGCAAAGCAGACAATCCAATACCATTATTCAAACAAATAAATAGTGCAGGATACAGACTCATAGAAATGGAGATGGAAGGGTCAAGTTAGATTATATTGTCCATCCTGACATTCACTCTGCAGATATTTCTACAGAGGAATATGTAGATATTTCACTGTAGTGAATAATATATTTTTTTGCCTTTACTGCTATTTTTTTCCAGTACAGTATGTTAACAGCACATAAACCAAAGAAGAAGTTATCCCTATGCTAAAATGTCTCATCAAATTACTAATTAATGACAGATTTCCATTTTCTCATGCAACTAATTTTCTTTTTTTTTTTTTTTATTTTTTTATTCTGAATGGAACGGCATTTCGCATGACAGCAGGAAATCTGCAGGTCAGTAACAAAAGCATGTGTTAATATCCTAATTAAATCCAGTTTGTATTACTATCATGATTAGTGATGACCAGCAACTCTGATATATGTTAACATGATTCAAAATGATGCTCACCCAGAACAACACTGTAGTTCCCGAGATGCAGAACCGCACAGCCTGGCTAGTTATAGGCAAATAAGGCTCCATCTCCTGAAACAGTCAAGCAAGCACAGCACAGTTCACAAATCCATAATCTTATTCTAACATCAAGCAGCAGACAGAGCTCTCACCAGCTGTGTGAAAGTGCCCACATCCGAGGAAAACCACTTAGAACCCCCCTCTCTTAAAGAGCAGATTGGACATGATTTTGAATGTGCTGGGGGGAAGATAGGACAGAAGTGGTGGTAACAATGCTAAAAGTAAAGACAGTACTTGGAAAGAAGGGTTAAACCCTTGCAAAAATTAATCAGTAGGTGAAGGAAAAAGACCAGCTCCTTCATTAGCTGAACAGGACAGAGCTATTCTTGCAGTGCTAGGTCAGCTGTCCAACAGCCTAGAGTCCAAAACTGGACTGAATTTTAAGAAATTCTTCATGGTTCTTAAAATGATCATTTACTTGGATGTACCATGTTTTTCCACACAGCCAGAGAGTGTTTTCCTCCACTCCTTCAATTTCTTTTTCTTTCTTTTAATTGAAGAAATGGCTACAGTCATTAGTTGCCAATCTCCACTGCAACATCAGGCAGGTATGTCTTACCCAAGTGAGTATCCCCATATAGCACATCAACAGTGTTCCATGTTCCTGTAAAGTTCTCTTTTTCGCGACCAATTCTAATTCCTAAAATATCAGATTACATGTAGTAAGAGAGGATCATTTAAGAACTAATGCCAGTGGAAGAAGGATTTAGTGTAAGATAATCTGAATTTGTAAATCTTTGGGTCAAGCCCTTGTAGTATGCTTACGCTTCTCTTGGATACAGGGGCTCCAACTACTACAGGCGAGTGCAATATTAAGTGTATTATCAGTAAGTACACTGACCCAGGAAACACTTGTTTTGACAACAGAAGGTATCATAGAATCACAGACTGGTTTGGGTTGGAAGGGACCTTAAACCCCATCCAGTTCCACCCCCCCTGCCAGGGGCAGGGACACCTTCCACTAGACCAGGTTGCTCCAAGCCTCATCCAGCCTGGCCTTGGACACTTCCAGGGATGGGGCATCCACAGCTTGGAGTTTATTTTCTGTTGCACAAAAGCCCAGAACACGCCGAGCACACGGGTGTAACGCGGTGTAATTACACTGAACACAGCGGCCGCGGCTGAGCTGCACATTTCCCCCCGACACAACCGAGCAGCAGGTTTACAAGTGTTGCTTCCTGACAGTGACGTTCTTCAGTCCATCGGCACGCCCCCACCAATGTGATCTGGTTTGAAGCGTGATGTGCTCTTCTCTCAGGAGAGATACACTGCCTGTATCTGCCTAAGTGAACCCACTAAACACCACCATCAGTACGGGAGCTGAGTCATGAGTTGTTTGATGATGATAACAGGCTCTGCTAACAGAACTATAAAAAACCAGCTGAAGATACAAGCACAGGTATTAGGCAGCTCTACATCCACATATTAGGTGTAAAATGTATTAATAATTCATATATTCCATACTAAGAATAAATGTTGTGCACATTCTAAGCTATTCAATACATTTTCTACTTTAGAACAAAATGTGGGCAATAATGTGCAATGACAGAGCCCGAGTTTGAATGGAATGCTTCATTATTTATGTAAATTAAGATTCTACTGCAATCAGAAAAACCAGATTTTAGCTATGATCTAGCTAAATAGTTTATCATCGTGACCAAATGAGGTATTAATTAAAGCGTCAAGATGAGCAATTTCTGTTTCAGTGCACCCAGAACTTTGAATTAGGCCAAGAATAACGAGGAAACAATTCTCTGAGCAAAGCCAACCCAGCCTTGGGACACAGGAAACTCAGTGACCTGTATCTGTATTATCAGTCTGAAGAAGTTAATTTATTTGAAATCACTGTCCTTTCACATGTTCAGTGTGGCACATTTTCTAATGAAAGGAAATTACAGCGTGGCTAACCCGTATGGTCTGCACTAACTGGGTATTGATAAGGATCAGCGCTACACTGATCAGTGGGGAGGTTTAGATTGGATATCAGGAAGAAGTTCTTCCCGGAGAGGGTGGTGAGGCACTGGAACAGGTGAGTGCGGCTGGAACCTCGGTTCACACTCTAGGTTTCCCAGCCCAAGCCCTTTTCCTTCAGGCATGAGATGCATGATATTCTTGCTGTGTGCTAAGATCTTCTCCTGGGTTGCTCTGAGCACTTAGCTTTCCTCCTTAAGGGCCTGCAGTGACAGGACAAGGGGTAACGGGTTTAAATTGAAAGTGGGGAGGTTTAGATTGGATATCAGGAAGAAATTCTTCCCGGAGAGGGTGGGGAGGCACTGGGACAGGTTGCCCAGAGAAGCTGTGGATGCCCCATCCCTGGAAGTGTCCAAGGCCAGGCTGGATGAGGCTTGGAGCAACCTGGTCTAGTGGAAGGTGTCCCTGCCCATGGCAGGGGGGTTGGAACTGGATGGGCTTTAAGGTCCCTTCCAACCCAAATGATTCGATGATTCTAAACCCTGCCACACGGAAGCTGCTGAAAATCCACCAAGGTCATAAATTGACATCTCATAAGGGATCGCAGAGTCATTGAAGTTTTATGGTAACTGTTAATGCACACTTAGAAAGTGCAGAACAGTGCAGTATCTCACACTGAGATAAGAAAAGTATATTACAGTCTAATTTCCATTTCCCAAATGAAGTCCAAATAAACCATTCCACCTAAGCGACCTGCATGACTTTAGGGAGGGAGCAGCTTCTCCCTCGTACAGGTACAGAAATGCCTCTCACACATGCCATCTTTGGCCGTCATCAGCTGAGTCGCCTCGCCAGAGTACAGGCTTTGGTCCCTGCTGTACACAACCCCTGCCTCCGAGTCAGCCCGTGACTGCCCTGTCCTGGCGCGATTCCCCTCCCCTGAGGCCCACTGGCCCGTTACTTCAGAGCACGCAAGGCCGTGAGCCAACCGCCTGTGTGATTTCCCCCTGCTCTTCCCTTCAGCTGCACAACCACAGCGGTCCCACTGGTTTTGGTCAGTGTATACTGTAAAAAAGTGGAGATTTTGAGCCTGAGCAGGGATGCAAACTAGCAAATGACACACAACAGGCAGGCATCTGTTTTCAATTAGCTGAACTAGCTCATCAGAAATTGATTTACCTGAAACCATTTTCCTGAGCATGCAGAAATCAATACCTCAGCACAGCTACACTCAAAATCACAGCACACGGCAATGACTACAGCACGCAGCTTCCAGGTGTAAGAGCAACAGCATTAATGCTGCATGTGCAGAAGGAGAGACAGAAAAACTGTCTCACAGGAGAAGGAAGATATGTGTATATATTTCCTAATAATTAAGGAAAGAATCCCTGAAAGGCAGGGTTGCTGTTCAGACAACAAGGATGCTTACCATGTTCTGGATAAGCTTCTGTTTCTTGACAGTGTTACCTAAGTCTACTTATGTCTAGTGAAAATAAGTTCTTCATCTACAATTCTAGGAAAAAGAAGGATGATTTCAAAATCCACCAAATCCAGGTGGTAGATGTTGTATTGGAATGCAACCACCTGATCCCTAAATTTGTCAAGTAACTCCTACCTAAATTAAATTTAAATGAAGACAATTAACATCTAGTAGGTATTTACATAGTACATTTAACAGAGTTAAATAGTGTGGTTAATTGTACCTCAATTAAATTTCAGACAAAGGGCTTCAGCAACCTAGCGTTCCCCAAAATGGTTGTCTGTCCGAAATAAAGCCACAGCTAGTCCCACTCTTGTGTCTTTACATCAAGGTGACTGCCCCTTCCTATGCTCTGCGGGAATGAGAAAGAGTGCTTTTGAAGGCGTGAAGATTTGGGACTGTGACCTTGAAACGTGAAGGGCACTGTAAAGATGGCGCTAGTCAAGTGAAAGCTATAAACTCTGCCTTTGTATTCACGATTTAATGAATCGGTCTCCTGTGGAAATTATAATCAACAGAGGGTAATTAATGAGTCACGCACACTTCAGAGGCAAAACACCCCCGTGTGCTCACTTAAATCTACTGTGTTAGATCAGCATCATGTCCTACGCTCACTGCTACCGTAAACACCGCTCCGTGGAGAGGTAACGGCTGAAGGCCTGGCCTGCTCCAGCACGAACACGGCACGGGTTACGTGTGTCACACAAACCCCTACCTAGCCGTGAGATACAGGCTTGTTCCTGAGGCAGAACTCGCGCGTTATGAAACCACCTCTCAGGTCAACCCAGCAGGCCCAGTACCTGAGTTACAGGATTCTTCTTCTTTTGGGTACATTTTGCCTCGTACTCAGGCCTCAGCTGCAGTTGTTGCTGTTCCTCTTCAAAATCAACCAAATCCCACTCGTATTTCAGTCTAGCTTGCCTTCTCTTCCAAAACTCCAAGAAAAGTGTAACTGCAATTTGGAAATGTTAGAACACAGTTAAGGGAGAACTGAACAAGTTCATGAACCGAGTGAAGCGTATTTCTGCACCGGCTCCTGTTCTGCGGTCTATTATTTATCCTCACAGTGTGGCAGTATCTTGATTGACTACCTATTGAAGTGCACAGCTAGGGCCATAATATGGATTAAGTAATCTATTAGATAATTGAATTCCAGAAGCGGATGACAAGGAAGATGCCCAGACAGGATACAGGTATTCCCACTGTTATGATGACCATGTGCAATTACAGTTTAACCACTTTCCATACACAAATAGTGGCATGGAATTAACAAAGGAACATGCTAATTCAACTAATTGCTCGTGTGTACAAACCTGTAACACATGAACACTATTACAGAGAAGCAGAACTGCTTTCAAGTAGCACGTTGCTTTCGGATGATTATTTGAGATCATGGTCATTTTAAAGACAGTGAATGTCTGATGCTTCTCATAAAACTAAGAGCGAGGCTGGCTTAATAAATTCTTAAGACATCAGAGGGTCAGATTTCATATATAAAATAAACAGCTATAAGACTTATAGTATCATACAACATTTTAAAAGTCCTCTATAAACCACCCTAAAATGTAAGCTTTTGGTTTGTTTGATTGTTCCTATTCGAAGTGGAGAGGCTTTACAGTTTACGCACATAGGGAAGCTCATCTTCTGCAGGTCTAAAATCTTTTGCTAGCACTTCCTGAATGACTAATCTATGTCACTCAAAGGCTAGTGCTTAAAACCAGGAAAAGTTTAGGAAAAGAGCCATACAACATCATCTTGCTCAATTTTTATTTTCTGTGAATTCTCTACAAAAAAGTCAGTGGCTAGGTCCTTTGATAATAAATAAACCACTACATTTTTCTACCAGCACACAGAGATCTGTGTGTGTTAATGAAACATCTATATTCAAGGACAGATTTAATTATGAAATTTCACACAAACAGTATAAAACAGGAAACATGTTTAAGGCAATGAGAGACAACAACTACACTATCCTACATCTATGAACCTTCACAGAGCTCAAGAAAAGTATGTGTATTCAAGCCAACAGTCTAAACAAGTGTCACTTGGTGTGAAACCATGCTTGTGGAGTCAGGAAATCCACCTATCTCTGCATTATCAAAACATACTATAATGTATGAACCTCACTGGAGTAAAAACCAACTGATTCTTCTAAAAGTGCTGCTAAGGAAGCGGTAGTGCTGGCCCACTGTCCAGTGAAAGGACAAAAGCTCTCTACTCCCTCACAGGGACGCTGATAATGCGCAGGGCTCAGCAGAGAGGACTTCCACAAGGGCTGTGTACGGTTGTACCACTCTGTCTTCGGCTACTAAGGAAAGAAAAACGTTAGCAGTTAGAGTACACGCTGCTTATGATACCCTAGTTACCTGGTGGATTTTTTTTGGCTTGTTTAAGTCCAATCCCTCTGTAACTTTACTTTTACTCTTTTATCACTTTTGCATCTGAGGCAGGATATTAAAGCAAGCCATTATTCCTTCTCTTCCCACTTTCCAGTGTCCCTCAGAAGTTTGGCCGAGATCTCCTTATTGCTTGACATAAAACTTAGCAAATGTACTTACCCCATATGCCCATGAAAATGGCGAAGAAGAGAGTTGCCACGTTGTCAAACAAATGGGAATACTGCAACAGAACACACAGGAGCAGGTCGGTACCAAACCAGTTTTCAGTGTGGATAAAAATGACAGGTGACTGGAGAACCAGATACAGACCTCTGAGGACTCACAGGTGGTGTTTAGTCTCCAGTACTCGCACTCTCGGTCACAAAGTGGGCACATGATGATCTCTCCTCCGATTGCAGGGTCACAGATTTCTTTGCTGAGGAGAAAATATTGTACAGTATCTGTTTTCATAGCATCTTAAGAGCGGCTCTATGAAATTTATTTAAAAAGAAACGTAAGAAGCATCATTTGTTCAAAGCTCAACATCTGTAGTTTCACAGAGGAGATGCCAAGTCTTCACCCATTCACTGGTGTTAACCTGTAGTAGGTCAGCGCAAGCCAAAAAATGTAGCAGCTGCTGCGAGGAGAAGCAGCTATTCACTTGGGGTGGGCTTTCCGATTCCCTCAGTCATGAATCAGCAGTCTGTAAGGAGCTGTACTGCACATGCGCTGCTGTCAGGCGATACACAAACCAGGTTATTGCTCATCAGGTTAGTACCGCGTCCAAAACACCTTTTCTAAAAGCAAAGGTATTCATTCAGCTTTGCTATCTACCGCAGAATTTGCTATTTAATTTAACTACTACAGTGGGCAAAGTCTACAATCCTATGATGTCCTTCAGCTTCCAGAGAAATCTGAAGATGTACAGCAGTATTCCCAGGTGAATTCTGAACCTAGCAAAAATGTAAGTCTCAGAATGATGTGATTCAGTAGAATGGATGAGAATTTTAACTCCTTGCTCATCTTCTAAGGTTAAAACTAAAAATTGTCTGGAATATTTCTTATAAAAAAAGTCAACAATGAAATGTCAACCCTCTTTTCCTCTCCCAACCCATCCACCCCCTGAAAATCCCTAAATACAATAAATTCTGGGACCTTGAGGAAACAAACACAATGCTTATTTAAAAAGAAGCAGACTCCAGCTTCCAAGCTACTGAATCCCTCTTTGGCAGAAGAGCACTGATCTGGCCTGTACTCATGCTTTTGGTCCTTAGTACAGCTGACGATCTACACAAAAAGATCAACGGACTATGCAAGATTAAAATACAAAAGCTCAGGGGAACAATAAACACACTCCAAACAACTTGGAGAGAGGTTGGTGGTGCTCTCAGACTTCATGTAGTGCAGGCACTCCAATATAAAAAGCTGTTGCCAACTGACCATAAAATATTGCTTTTGATCTACAAATTGAGTCTAACTAATTAACAGTCACGAGCTGTGCATTAGCTGTCCACCACCATTTCAGTCAATACAGATCGCTGTGGAAGAAACATGTCTGCTCTGACGAGCTTTAAATGCTTGTTACCTGTTGGTTTCTTTGCAAGACCAGAATTTTCACAGTACTTAGCTTTTCCCCTCACAAGCCCAGGAGATTTTCAGCATTACACTCACCTGCTCATATTTTCATCCATTGTAAACAAGCCATAAAGAAAACAGATTAAGCCAACAACTGCTGCAAGGAATAACATCTCCGTGTAGAATCCTAGCCAGGCAAAATAGATTCCAATCTTCTCACCATAGTACTTCCTGAACACCAGAAAATGCAATTAACAGGAATACAAAGCAAAGTTTAAAACTGCAATGGAGCCAACTGGGCAGGGTCAAAATGAAACACTTGGCAAAATTTTCATTTAAAGAAGAGTAAGTGCATTGATGTACACTGGAAAAGTGAGATTTGAAGCTAGCTGCAAGAAGTAACACAAGCTGAATGAGCAAAACACACGGCCTCTTTTGACCCTTTTTTCCCTCCTAGGAGAAGTTCCAGCTCTAAAGTAACGCTTTCTCCTTCCCACAGGATAATGTAGATGAAGATGCACTTTCTTGATTTTCCACGGAGTCATACAAATGAAAATGGGCACAACAGTTATCATCATATGGTTAGAACCACCGAGTAATGCGCCGAAGTAAATACAACCGGTCGTGTTACGAACGGGGCAAGTGCAACCTGTGCATAAAGCAATGTTTGAGCTGAATCCAGGAGATCTTGGCTAAGGTTAGTTTAAATTTGGGGTTAGCACTGAATTAAGAGTCAAGCTTCAAAACTGATTTTATTGGTGGTTTTTTGAGTCTGTGCTGAAATTTCAACATTTCAAATCATCTGTAAAAATCGTGGCAGATAGTGATTATAAAATGCAAAGTATTGTTTGTATGTGTTCCCCTACAGCTGAATTATCTGCAATATACCTGACCCCAGGAGCACTGGCTAGATTGGAAGAGGCTTGATTTGAGGTAAGAATTTCTCCAGTTACTAGTAAAAACCTGTGTCGTGTCCTCCAAGGACCCAGTGCCTAATTAAGTGTCCAATTCTCATCGGGTCTTAAAAGTGGTAGAAGTTTTTCAGCA